AAAATGATACAATCAGTCCTTCTTTTCATTTCCACAACACTGATGTGTTGTTTGCACAGGGGTTCGGTACAATGCGGAGAAGAAGAAAGTGGGGAATTATTACACCACGCCAATTTACAGGTAAACGGGAGGATCAGGTCAGCTGTTAAAAGAAAAAGCTTTTGCTGTTGTGCAAACTTTAAATCAGAACTATAAACATGTGTGCGTTTGTATGCTGCACTTTACAGTATCACAGTAAAATTCATCTTGAAGCTGTCCTCGAATTAAAATCTTGTTTCCTTAACCAGATTTCGGATGAAGTGCCATCTCTGTGTGAACTACATTGAGATGCAGACAGACCCAGCCACTTGTGACTATGTCATAGTAAGCGGGGCTTGCAGGAAGGAGGAGCGCTGGGACATGGCTGAGAATGAACAGATTCTCACTACAGGTAACACAGTTGTGGCTTTTACAAACAAACAAACAAATGGTTTGGTCAGTGCTCTCACCTGCACTGTGTGTAAATATTATGCACAAAATGGGCACCATGATATAATCATTTTTCTGTGTCGGACAGAATCATATAGACAGCAGATATCACATCAAAAGACATCTCCACAAATGGTTGTTTGAATATTTGATGTAATCTGATGTCATTTTTACAAAAAAAAGGGCTTGTTTGTTGCTACTCGATACAATACTTACGATACTTGTTCCTCTTTGGGCAGAGCGGGCAGAGAAGGAGAAGCTGGAGACGGATGCCATGTACAAACTGGACCATGGTGGGAAAGACAAGGAGAAGCTAAAAAAGGCTCTGCCGTCTCTGTCAGAGATCCAGGACTATCAGGCCGGGAAGAAGGATGACTTCCAGCTCAACAGCACCCTCCGTAGGAAATTCAGAGTAAGATATTGACATCCTTTTGGCCATTGCAGTAATACCACTTTTCTCATTTGCTTAGACATTCAGACGTAACATTTTCTAAATGGTTCACTCACAGGCCTAAAATTAAGGTCGGTGGCTGGAATGACACCCTTTGCTTGCAGAAAACATTAAGACATTACAAAATAAAGTATACCATTGTAAATTATTATTATATTTTCACTCAGTCATTACACATTTCAAAAGAAAAATACAACACATGCCAGTAAAAGTTTAATGTCTGCTAGTGTTAATTTATAATGCATAGAATATAACATGTTTCAAATGAAAAGCTAAATCTTGTTGCCCTCTACAGCTGCACTTTTCATATTTTCTTTTTTGTGTTCTTCATTTATTGTAGTGACGTGTCTGTGAACTGATATTCATATTAAAGACCTAAACTACTGCTAGTGAAAATAAAATATGCATGTAACTGCATTTTCCTCAACACTCTCTGTAATAGTCTTTTACTCATCCTTTTACATACCTTTGTGTTATCACGGGCCTAGACGTCTGTCAGCGACCCCACCAGGCAGCCTCTGAACATCAGGACCAAAATGTTCGTTCTCTGGCTGGTTGTTGAGTAGTTGCTGCGGGTTTCTGGCTGTCACTGTAAAGTTGTCCAGAGAGCGGGTGCTGTACAAAATTTAGTGCTCATAGTTTGCAGGATTGTCTACAAACCCTTGCCCACTGCCCCACAGAACTTGGAAGTACGAGACAAATTGGAAATTGACAGTTTTCATTGTTAAAACAAAATTTGTGGCCCACTGCTGAAGCCAGCATGTTTCAAAGGACACAACTTTTACTGTAAAGGTAAACAAGCTTCATTTCCAGTTTGCATGACACTTTGGGGTGTTTTACTACTGCTAGTTGGCGAATGCTTATACATAAGTCTGCGCCTTTCCTACAAACCACAGCTGACTGTGGCAATCTGCTAGTGACTGAAGTAATCACAGACAGGTTTTCAGTGTTTTCAGCTTACACTTGTTTGAAGTGTACAGTGTTGCACAGACCAACAGGAGTCAACCTACAGTACTCTCAGCTGGTCAGGGAATACCCATTCCTGTATTTGGTGGTTGCCAGGCAGCTACTACCTAGTCTCTAGGCCTGTGTGACTGGATTTTGTTTTAAAATTTTCCTTCAAGCTCTGGATTTTAATGACAAAATTAAAAGTTTCATACAATGTCTTCCTTTGTCGTGTTGCTTGGCTGTATAGGAAGAGAAGAAAGTTCTGGCTGATCAGGAGGAGAAGGACAATGCGGTGAGGATGAGAACCAACTTATCCATCCCACTGTTACCAGAGAAGGAGGAGGATAAGAAACTGGCAGCACTACTTACCTACCAGACACCTGACTGTAAGCAACATATTTTGTCACAAGTATATAAATTTAAAAAGCGTATAGTGAATTATTTACTGTCTCACTTTGAAAATGTCTGAAATCTTTTACAATTTCTGCATCATTTTCTCCTCATTTCCGATTAGCATATGAGGACAAACAGCAGAGCAAAAGGAAGGAGATCGCCTCTCGTTCATGGTTTAACTCTGCGTCAACACCACCAGGTGGTGCTGCAGGCAGCCTGCTCCATAAGCTTGGACTCCAGGGGAAAGAAATAGCTGTGGCCAAAGCCCTGGGTTCCTCACACAGTCCTTTCATCCGCAAACGGACATCACAATCTGGAAACAAGACTGAACAGTGTGCCACCATCACCCGCAGAAAGTCACACCATGATGTCAGCACAAGCGATGGGGACATTTCATTGGCCACACCCACAGTGGAAACCCCATGTGTAGTATCGGAACAAATGGTTCAGAATGAGACAAATGGTGATGGTTTCAAGGAAGTACATATCAGACCTACAGAGGAAGCAGACAAAAAGCTGACAAATGGAAAGGTGGAGGAGCGGAGTAAATGCTCAGGAGGAGTCACATCTCTGGTGGCAGACTACAGTGACTCGGATTCAGAGTCTGGACAGTGAGACTGAATGATAAATGGGACACTTTGTGTTTTCAGTGAAGAGTCACAAGAAAAATGGAGATAAAAACAAACTGTAGATATTTGTCACAGCTGCAGACGTCTAACATATGCTTCTTTTATCTGCTGAAGTAATAGTGCTGCATTCTTTTTTAAGATCTGTGTGGCCTGCAGATTACAGTGTCATGTGTGAATGTGTTGGAAAAATGTTTAGAACTTGACCCAGCGTATGGTATTTGGTTATCTAACCTACATCCCTCAGATGCCCAAACATGTGTCCCAGTAATAAAACAGCCAAGAAGCTTGTAAAATTAAATGTAAACTGCTTCATCTAGTATTGCTGTATTTTTGTTTAAATTTTAGTTCAGTATGTTGGCTCAAAGTGTTGAAACTATCCATCCACAGTAGAATAACTTGTACCAGATGCAAAGTCACAGGCCTGAGGGGTTTACTGCAAAGGAGCTTCAACACAGACGGTCCTTCTTTGACTTTGGCTGGCTTTACAAATCCCAGCTGAAGATAATCACAGTCACAAGTGTGGTTACCAGCCAGCTTTTCAGATTCAGGCTTTGTGTGCACTCACACAAAAAGGGGCACAAAATGATCTCTATGAGCGCTGCCTACTCGACTTGTTGATGTTATCAGATGGTGATGAAACAGGGATTACAAATGAATAAAGAATATAAGAAACAGAACACTGTTGCAATAACATAGGAAATGAATACTTCATTTCCTATCTGATTACTGCAGAAAATCATTGCTCTTAGGATTTAACCTGCAAAGTGGAAAGTAATTATTTTTAGATCATTATTTTATCGCTAATTCTCAGTATTGGAGTTTATTTTTAAAGTGACAGCTGCACATTGGCGCTCTGAAGCTTTAAAGTGGATACATTTCAACATTAAAGGTTAATGTAGGCGCTGTGGTGAAATCCCTGTAGTTTATTGCCAGATTGAAAAGCAATTAATTTTATTGATTTATCTTTGGTGATAAACACCCAGATCAGTTTGCTGCTCTAGTAGCTGCAATTCAAGCAGTGTAAAAAAAAAAAACCCTTAGCAGCAGATTAACACTAAGGTGTCACAGCCTGGCTCAAAGTATGTCAATGAGGTGTGAGACCATACGTAGACTTAGGAGGTTGTTAAATACTTTCATGAAATAAAGAAACTAAAAAAAGTTTGAGTAATTGTCAGCATATGCATGCCATGTCTGAAAGCGTTGGTGTATGAGTGAGCATGTGCCAACACCAAAAACCAAAATGCTTTGTCAGCCAAGCAGCACCCATTAAGAAAAGAAAGGAGGCCCTGGCAGGGCTTCTTTATAGGGTGTCTTAGCCTGACCTGCTCAGGTTTGCATTTCCATAAAACAGAGTTCCTACCAACTTGGACATCTATTGACATTATAAATAAACCTAACACATGTAACATATGCATTTTACAGATTTTTTATTCATAACTAACCTCACTGCCAAGCACATTGATATATACTCAAACCGCTTCCATCTCCAGACTCAGCTGTGTTGGATCCTAGCGGAGGAAGGAATACTGAAGAGGAGCTAGTACAAAGCATATTAATGATACAGCTGTGACAAATGACTGAGGGACACAGGACAAAGCATCTGCCATGACATTATCTTTGATATGCTGAATGCCCAAATTGTCAGGCTGAAAGAAAGCCCACCAGATGAGCCTGTGATTTGGGTTCTTCATTGAGTTTAAACCTGATAGGAGTTGATATGTGACATCTGCATGCAGCTTAAATGGGTGATCCGAATGGGGCCAACATCTGAAACTGGGTCAGGTCCACCCACCAGTCGCTTGAAAAAAACAGACACAGATAACAAGAAAGCCAAGCCAGTGCTGTGTCAGTCACATATAATACAACAACTTTACACATTTTCTTCATTACCACATGCCTGCTGCGTGCACATTCAATTGACAATGAAATGCATGGTTTGTGCTACTGTAACTTCCAGCTGAGCTTCATTCGTCATGTTAGTAAGTAAAATAAGTGAACTAAAAACAAAATGACCCTTTGCCCTGGTTAAGACCTCCCCATCATTCTTTGCCAAACAAGTCTATAGTTTGTTTTATTGATCAGCAGCTACATCCCTCCCCTTTCTATTGACTCTACAGTATCTGATGAGGAAGTATGACAAAGTTTTTGGGTCTCTCAAATTAGGTGACTGACTGGTAGCCATAGTCCACAGAAACTCCAAGACAATCGTCATGGTTCGACTGAAGCTACACAACATTTTATTCCTTGTACTTTTCTGCAACTCAAATGGACAATTTGACCATTCTAGGAGGTAAGAGGCTTTACTTACTCAGGACCTGCTGTGTGTTGGACATTACATCTTTGAGGTTTTGTATAATAATCGTGCTGTGATCTTTACAGGCACCCATGGAGGGACAGGTATGTATGTGTGTGCACAAACATGTTTACACAGGAGGTCTGTGGGCAAGAATCATACAGTACAGACAAGGTTAAGCCTCTGGTAGCTTCAGTTATTGTTTTTGAATCTCATCCCCAGATTTGTACCAATTGACCGATACTGGGCTCTTCATGAGTAAGTAACCTTTGATGGATTCGGCCTAACAGAAAGCAAAATATGCATACACTAAAAAAAGGAATAAGTTAAGAAATTAAGATGTGTTGATTCACTGTTTTTCTTTAACATGTATTTTAAAATATCAAATTCGTATTTGTTACCCTCAATCTTTGGATATGTGCTCTTATTTCCTTATCAAACGTATTCTCATCGTGGTTTTGTGTGGCCTTTTCTGCTATAATGATTAAGAATTTCTTATGTCCCTTTTAAAAATATCATTAAGGCATGCTGTTTCTTATTAATTTTTTTTTACATTTGTTATTGCAACTTGCATGTCATTATCCCCTCTCCGTTTTAATTGTAACCCTGTTAAGCCAGTCTGAAATAATTGACAAAAATTTGCATTGTTTGA